CTTTCTTTCTTATTCTGTTTATTATCTATCTATCTATCTATCTATCTATTTCTTTCTTTCTTATTCTGTTCATTATCTATCTCTCTATCTATCTATCTATCTATTTCTTTTCTTTCTTTCTTTCTTTCTTATTCTGTTCATTATCTATCTATCTATCTATCTATCTATCTATCTATCTATCTATGTATCTATCTTTCTCTTTCTTTCTTTCTTTCTTTCTTTCTTATTCTGTTCATTATCTATCTATATATCTATCTATCTATTTCTTTCTTTCTTTCTTTCTTTCGTTCTTTCTTATTCTGTTCATTATCTATCTATCTATCTATCTATCTATCTATCTATCTATTTCTTTCTTATTCTGTTCATTATCTATCTATCTATCTATCTATCTATCTATCTATCTATTTCTTTCTTTCTTTCTTTCGTTCTTTCTTATTCTGTTCATTATCTATCTATCTATCTATCTATCTATCTATCTATCTATTTCTTTCTTTCTTTCTTTCTTTCTTTCTTATTCTGTTCATTATCTATCTATCTATCTATCTATCTATCTATCTATCTATCTATTTCTTTCTTTCTTTCTTATTCTGTTCATTATCTATCTATCTATTTCTTTCTTTCTTTCTTATTCAGTTCATTATCTATCTATCTATTTCTTTCTTTCTTTCTTATTCTGTTCATTATCTATCTATCTATCTATCTATCTATCTATTTCTTTCTTTCTTTCTTATTCTGTTCATTATCTATATAACTATCTATTTCTTTCTTTCTTTCTTTCTTTCTTATTCTGTTCATTATCTATCTATTTCTTTCTTTCTTTCTTTCTTTCTTATTCTGTTCATTATCTATCTATCTATCTATCTATCTATCTATCTATCTCTTTCTTTCTTATTCTCTTCATTATCTATCTATCTATCTATCTATCTCTTTCTTTATTTTTTCTTTCTTATTCTGTTCATTATCTATCTATCTATCTATCTATCTATCTATTTCTTTCTTTCTTATTATGTTCATTATCTATCTATCTATCTATTTCTTTCTTTCTTTCTTATTATGTTCATTATCTATCTATCTATTTCTTTTATTCTGTTCATTATCTATCTATCTATTTCTTTCTTTCTTTCGTTCTTTCTTATTCTGTTCATTTTCTATCTCTCTCTCTATCTATCTATCTGTCTATCTATTTCTTTCTTTCTTTCTTTCTTTCTTTTTTTTTGTGTTCATTATCTATCTATCTATCTATCTATCTATCTCTTTCTTTCTTATTCTGTTCATTATCTATCTATCTATTTCTTTCTTTCTTTCTTTCTTATTCTGTTCATTATCTATATATCTATCTATCTATCTATTTCTTTCTTTCTTTCTTTCTTATTCTGTTCATTATCTATCTATCTCTCTATCTATCTATCTATCTATCTATCTATTTCTTTCTTTCTTTCTTATTATGTTCATTATCTATCTATCTCTCTATCTATCTATCTATCTATCTATCTATCTATCTATCTATTTCTTTCTTTCTTTCTTATTCTGTTCATTATCTATCTATCTATATATCTATCTATCTATCTATCTGATTGTGCATATAGGGAGGCTCAAAACCTATTTTACTCTAATAGTATAAAATAAAACAAAAGCATAAATTTAGAACAAATAAAAAATATTTATGAAAGCTGAAATCTAACCATGTTTATAAAACAGTATTCTGATAAAGTAACTTGTAGACATGAATTTATTAAAAAAAATGTAACTATTTAAAAAAGTAACTATTAATAAAAAGACAAAAATTTCCTTAACAAATGGAAGAATTTAGAAAACGCTATTATTTTCTTATTATCAACTGAAAATTACGTCAAGTACAGTCACGTGTGGAAATGTTGTTTTTATTTTTGCGTTAACGGATTGAACCATTTCCTTTTGATTTCACGATTCAGTTGTGTACATTTGTTTTGGAGAGTAATAATTCTTTTAGGGAAGGAGGAATAGTGAAAAGACTTGGGCGTAGATTAATATTTCGATATATATTTGTTTTAATAAATTCATTTCATTTTTGCCTAGAAAAGTCCATATTGGACGAAACGCATCGGCTAATATTACAGTTTTCCTATGGTCTTTTACATTTATAAATATTGTCTTTTTCTTACAGGTTAAATATTTTCATATATATGATAAATATTTATATATATATATATATATATATATATATATATATACACGGATGGATTGATGTTGAAAAGGCTAAAAATGTGCTGATATATATGAACAGAGATAGATAGATAGATAGATAGATAGATAGATAGATAGATAGATAAATGCTTTTAGATAGATAGATAGATAGATAGATAGATAGATAGATAGATAGATAGATACGAACCAATCAATATGACCATACTGTTCGAGATGCGAGCAGAGTTGTAACAGGATGGAATAGATGGTTAGATAATCCCGCAAATAGTCAGGTGTATATCGTTGTTCGCTTAGATCAACGAATAAGCGACAAAAGCTGGTGTCATCTAAATTCACAACGGCTGTAACGGAAATAAGGACGCAGACGACAGACAAAAGTCGATAAAAATAACTAACAAAATCTTTTCTTTTTTTTTTGTCGACTGAAAAGCAGTAACCTTTGGAAAATATTTTAAAATTGGGATGTTAGCTTTCTGTCGTTGACAGAAGAGTTCATGCACCTCGAACTGCACCTAGTTTAGAAGATCAGCAAACAGATATAGATATGGCTGACTATTAAAGAGGCAAGCGGAAACAAAAAATTTCGATGAAGATCGTATGGGATTGACTTCGTTTTTTCAAGGCAGAAAGATCTAATATATTCAATATGTAAGTGTATACTGGACAGATGAAAGAAACCCTTGAATCGATAGACATGTGAGTCTACCGATAAATGACGTTAGAAACGAAAAGTGATGTGCTTCTTGAGGCGGAATGGCGATGGTGTCAGCTTGCCCGATGGCATGTGGGTCCCTGCTGGAGGAGCCCGCTCTCTGTATCAAATAAAAATACAGTAAAGAGACAAACACACACAACAGTGTCAGTAATAACAAGGAATAATACATTCATATGCACGCAATCAGTTACTGAAGTCCAATGTGTGAGGACATTATTCAAAGCTAAAAGACAAGATTAAGAAATTCGCCCTTTGAGAATTTGGAATCACATATGAAAAATGAATTCTCGGATGAATTGAACGCAGAAGCAATTATTGGCAGATTCGAATGATCACCTAGTGGACAAAAACGATTGCTCTTAACATAGTGGGCCGCATTCAATGCTCTATTGTGCTTTTCAACTCCCTGTTAATGTGTAAATTGTGCAATAAACTATGATATAACGATATATAAATTTGTATAATTTTATATATCAACAAACAGTATTTAGAAAAATATGACAGTCTGGAAGGTTTTTTTTTTTGTGTGACGCGTGTCATCCATTAGTATTTCCTCGGACTGGACTTTGATGACGTTGCCACTTCTACACATGCGGACGAAACGAGAGACGAGGTAGTTTCAAAATCTTTCGAAATAATATCTTTTGAAAGAATTTTTTCTTTTTTCAATCTAGCCAAAATCATTTGTATTCTTTTTCTTTATCTCTCCACCAACTTTGATCTTGACTAACCCACACTGTGACAATATAAAATCTATCAAGAATGGCTGAACTAACGATCAAGGTACTTTCTCAGTAGACTATGTTTTTGACGTGTGACTATAGTTTCGCTGGGTGGTGTTCCCAGTTCGTCAGGCACGTGCCTGAGGAACTGGGAACACCACCCAACCAAACTATAGTCGCATGCCAAAAACCTAAGTATGCGTATATGTACTAATTAATACATATATTTGCTCTGTACAACCGCATTGAACACTATTAGGTTTACATCTCATGCATAAATTTAACGATTATTTATTTCCTTGCTTGCGTATGCACACTGGCACACGTGCACATGCCTGTTTATATTTGGCCGTTTCATTTATCCACTCTAGGACTATATATATATATATATATATATATATATATATATATATATATATATATATATTTTTTTTTATTTTATACATTCTTTTTTATAGATACAAGGCCGGTAAATGTTGTTTAATACTGTTTATTATAAACAGAGCATTTACTTAAATATTTGTATCTATAAAAAGAATACCCGCTCGGCCCGGTGGCTAGGATCAAAGTGTAGTATCTGTGCTTTGTGAGCTGCCGAGCTGGTGTTCGTCGAACTCTCTGTTTGCAGAGAGGAACCTGACGAAGTCCGCCGAAGGGTGGGGTTTCGTTCGGGGAGGTTGACGGAACTAGCCTGCTTGGACGGGTTTAGATGGGTTTTATTTTTGGCTGGGTGGACATACCCACATTAAAAGGCCTTGTGCCACATTCAATTCTGTGGGTGAAATGATAAAATACCATCTATAAAAAGAATGTATGAACGGTGTTAGCACCAGTTCATGACTGTTGAACTCTGTTTTGGCAGAGTGGAACCCGGACGAATCTTTGCCGAAGGGCAAGGTTTCGTCCGGGGAGGTAGACAGGGCCTGAACCCGTCTAGGTTGGTTCAAAGGGTATATTTTTGGCCGAGCCTACGGGCTCGGAGAAACCCACTTTAATCTCGGCCTCGTGCCACATATATTCCTCGTGGGTGGGATATTAAATACAATAAAAAGAATGTATAAACATAAAAATTGTCGGACTTTGTCCATTTCATAATGTGTGACGCCATATATATATATATATATATATATATATATATATATATATATATATGTGTGTGTGTGTGTGTGTGTGTGTGTGTGTGTGTGTTAATGAAAATATACATTTTGTGTCGAAGCCTTGGACCATATTTCCATATTTCTTTCGTATTGAACTTTGAATAATTTCAGATGCAATTTCTTCCTCATGTGAGAAGGATTATTCATAATTTGGGGAAGTTGAACAATAAAATTAATAGATGTAAAAATGCCTGTTGTCTTTAATAACATTTGCTTTAAATAAAATTTGCAGCCTAAATACACAGAATATATATATTGATCGCTAGTTCAGCCACAATAAAATTTGCGTCCAGGCGCGTACAATAATATATCACCATTTTTGGTCGATTTTGTATTGTCACAGTGTGGGACAAAGAAAAAGTGACGGAGAGAAAAAGAATACAGGTGATTTCGGCTAGATTGAGAGAAAAAAATTCTCTGAAAAAATATCCCTTCAAAAATTTTGAAACTACCTGCATCCTGTATTTTTATGATATATATATATATATATATATGTGTGTGTGTGTGTGTGTGTGTGTGTGTGTGTGCCTGTGAAATATAATAATAATATTTTTATATAAACGAATATATATATACATAAATACATACATACAAATTATTAACCCTTACGCCCCTTTTCTTTAAACAATTGCTCTAGCCGCTACCATAGTATTCTAAATTTCAATAGTGAATATGCTTATAAAACGCGTAAATTTAAGGAATTACTTATTCAAAAAAAAATTTCGCTTGAAGATGGAACAGAGCTTAGTACTTTAATTCAATTTAATTCAAATAATTGTTTTGAAACATGAGAACTCTTATGTAGCGTTGGAATCATATTTTTAAATAAATAATTATATTTATGCTCTACTTTTGTATCGAGCACTATTTTTTTAAAAAATAATAACAAAAATACTAAAGAACTTTGGATTATTTACCTAACAAGTTCTTTCCTATTTTCTATATATTCTTACACACACACACACACACACACACACACACACACACACACACACACACACACATATATATATATATATATGTTACATTATTATATGTTCAGTTACATTATTGTTATGGGGACCTACCTTCATGGACAAAATAGACTCGTCTCATGACTATATTATTGTTCGCAAGAGGACTGTAGATAGAAGACGAATTGACTACGGTTGACTACGTGTGCGACTTCTGTCGAACTCTCTGCTTTGGCAGAGAGTAACCCAGACGAAGCTTTGCCGAAGGGCAATGTCTCGTCCGGGGAGGTAGACAGGCCCTGAACCCGTCTAGGCGGGTTCAAAGGGTATATTTTTGGCCGATCCCACGGGCTCGGAGATACCCACGTTAAACTCGGTCTTGTGCCACATACATTCCTCGTGGGGGGTTTGTTAAATACCGAATACGAGGTGACTACGTACGACTTCTGTCGAACTCTCTGCTTTGGCAGAGAGGAGCCCCGACGAAACTTTACCCTTCGGCAAAGCTTCGTCCGTGGAGGTAGACATGCCCTGAACCCGTCTAGGCAGGTTCAAAGGGTATTTTTTGGCCGAGCCTTCGAGCTCGGAGAAACCCACATTAAACCCGGCCTTGTACCACATACATTCCTCGTGGGGGGGATCGTTAAATATTGAAGACGGGTTGACTACTGTACTTTGCCGTCAGACGGACGTGCAACACTTCTGTATTAGTTCTTTTTGTTAATAAAACGTTTTCACTGAATTGCTGTGTTCGAGTTTTCTTTCGGACCTCTTCCGGGTCCACAACAATTATATATGCAATAAACCTATTCAGTCAGTAACACAAGCATTAATTCTTGAACA